GCCGCTGACGCCCGCACCCGGCAGCCCTCCCCCCTCACCCCTCTCGCTCTCCCTCTCCGCCCGCGGGCTGTGAAGTTGGAAGGCCGGGCCCGCGGACGGGGGAGCTCCCGTGCAGCCCCGGCGGCGAGGGCCGCGGACGGGGAGGGCTCACGCACCCAGCTGGGGGGCCCGGTCCCGGGGCAAGGCGGGCTGTCCCGGCTCGCGGAAGGTCACCTCTGCACCTCTCCTTAACTCGGAATGCCCTCTAGGTTTGCAGGTCGTCGTCGCCTAAACAGTGTGCGGCTGCGATGGGTGGAGGCGGTGGAGGGAACGGGGCCAGGAGGGTTGAGGCCACAGCTTGGGGTTCCAGGAACGAATCTACAGTGTTTGCCTTTCTTTTTGAAGAAGTCAGTGTGTGCTTGAAGAATTCCGATGGCGAATATTTTGGGCCTTGTAGGTGAAGCTTTCTCTCCTGCCTGTTACGTGGCATCTGGAAAGTGTCTGCACACCGTTTCCCAGCCCCTGATGCCCTGGGTCGTAGTTACAGTCGTTTGTGCTTCTCCTTGAACTTACGGAAATAACGGGAGGCTGGTCGGCATGGCTGCTGTCTGCCAGTGGCTGAGCTAATTGATTTGAATCTCGGCCCAATACTTTCGGCTGCCCCTTTTTCTCTAAGAGCTTGCGGGGTTTATGGAATTCTGGGGAAATGGGGAAAGTTGCCTCAAAAGAAACCCCAACCACAAAGCTATCTCTAACGAGCCTTTGTGAGCTGGCCGCTCTCTCATTTTTCTCTGTGAAATTAATTAAAATGATACGGTTTGCTGACTATCTACTATGTGTTTGACACTGTGCTTACATGTATCATCGATTCCTTAAAATTGAACAGAAGTCTTAATGAAAACGATGGCTGTTACAAAGGTATCTTTGTCCTTAATCCAGTAGAGTGCATGTCTTCAAGCCGGAGTTGTCTTCCTGGGTTATGGTTATAGTGCTTGTTGGAGTCTTATTAAAGTCCAGTTTTTGCTTAGTCTTATAAAATAGAGTTCTTTAGCGTCACATTGCTGCTGTTGCCCTTTACGATCTTCTCTTGATCGGCTGGTCTGGCATACCAGCTGACACGTTAATCTTTCCAAGGCATCCTGCTGTCTTGTTGATTTACCCAGCTCTCAGTGTCTTTTATTAACTTCCCTCAGCCTAGCAAGTGAAGGACATACATTGAGTCCAGCACTTGAGGCCTTCTCCTCTGCGGTACCAGGTTCCTTTTGCCAGCTCATCTTTGGCTCCTAATTGTACCCTACAATGTAGACACGTGATTATTTGCTGTTTTTCACATTGTCTGTTCTTATTGCTTCTTTCCCTCACCTTCAAACTGGAATGCCCTGTCTTTTAGATACCCCTGTCAGAATGTTATCTTTTCATAAAGGATAAAATAACCCCATCCTAATTCTTCCATTACTGCTCTGTTTTGAATTCCTACAGTAATTAGTGTCTTAATTATAGCACCTGAAGCATCTGGTTTGGTGTGCTTGTCTTATTCTAGATAGTAAGTTCTTTGAGATGAGGTTCTAATATGGTGTATTGTGTGTAGAGGGCAGTCAACTAGTGGGACCATCTTGTTCTGCCTTTTAACTAAAACACTGTTGTTAGGTATAACTCGGAGCTGTTGAATTTAAAAATAAGCCCTGAGTAAAGATTGTGTCCTGCCAAACCATTAAGATATACTTGCTTACTGCTTTAGGGTGGCTGCTGAAATAGTATTAACATCTCTGAAATAGTATTAATGCCTCTGAATTTTAGTTTGTAGAAATAAGCATTTTCCAAGTAAGTTGTCAAGGAAATATTTTTACATTTGTTCATTTCTCTTGGAAGGAGTCCAAAACTACCTACCTGGAAGATCTTCCACCACTTCCCGAGTATGAATTGGCCCCATCCAAATTAGGAGAAGAAGTAGATGATGTTTATCTCATTCGAGCTCAAGGATTGCCCTGGTCGTGCACTATAGAAGATGTACTTAACTTTTTCTCAGGTATATTTTATATTTGTTTAAATAGGTAGTTTTGTCTGAGTAAAAAGGGAGTCCCACAAAGCCCAAGTAAGACTTCCTGTAGACTTCCTCTTTGATGGTTGGGAATTGTTTTGATTCTGGCTGGTTCCATATTTGTATCAAGTGATTCCATGTGTACTGTTGGTGGTATGTACCAGATTTTTTTTTTTTTAATATTTTCTTGAGTTGGAACCTCACTCTGTTGCCCAGGTTGGAGTGCAGTGGCATGCTCACGGCCACTGCAGCCTCGACCTACTGGGCTCAGGCTATCCTTCCACCTCAGCCTTCTAAGTAGCCAGGACTACAGGCGCACACTACCACGCCCAGCTTATTTTTTGATTTATTGTAGAGACGAGGTCTCACCATGTGTCCTGGGATGGTCTCGAACCTGCAGGCTCAGGCATCCTCTCACCTCAGTCTCCCAAAGTGCTGGGATTATAGGCCAAACCTGGCCTGTACCAGATTTAAATACTGAATGCAAAAAAGATATCTAATGTTAAAGCTACATGCCCACACCTCATCTACAAGGGTACCTGCATAATAAACATTTGCATACCTAACCCTGAATTGTACCCCTCATCTTTAAAATGAAATTTTTTTTAAAGAAAGAGAAATAAAACTACATGCCGTGAAACCAGTTTTTTTTTGCAGTTTTAAGGTGTACAAATCAAAAAGCCAAACCAGTTAGTTGAAATTACAGGATTAAGAGTACCTCTTTATGTAATACATACATTTAGAATGCATGGTCACTTAGTATCAAGGGATAGAATTCCTGTAATATGTTTGGAAGGCTTATCAGTTGGAGAAATTTTTGTTTTTTTGTTTCTGTATCTATGATTTCTAATTTTTCTTTTAAGAGACTTTAGAAGATACCACCTTAAAATGTTGTAAAAGATATAGCTGGACTGCCTTAATGTTTATAGCATTGTGTGGGCCAGACATTTTTTAAAACCACTTGCCACATATTTGACTTACTCCCTTGATAAGAAGTATGAAGTATGGAGATGTCTTTCCTTGGTAATAAAAAGAGAGAAAGTTAAGTTATGATAGCAAAATTACTCTTTTTTTTTTGGAGTTTAAAATACAGTTTATTTAAAAAGTAAATTAGAGAGAAAACGAGAAAGAGAAGATTCACCTCCCCAAGGTGGGGGAGGGGGCCAAAGCCAGGAAGCATGACAACACAACAACAGACTCTAGCAGGGCAATGGCCTATAATAGCAAAATTACTCTTATGGGAGCTGCTTTAGAGTCTTGTAGATATGGTTTTAAAGAAAATAGTTAGGTTTATAAATTGATGTGTAAACTTAACTATATTTAATCTCCTTAAGTGATGTGAAACTGATTGTAATGGGCATAATTCATTTTGTGTTGGACCTACCCTGATTTGCCATTCAATGGTTAGGAAGGAGATCATAAACTTATGTGCTAAGGTTTGCTTATCTTTTCTACTTGGACCTTTATTTATTTGTATTTTTAAGTCAGAGTCTCTGTCTCCCAGGCTGGAGTGCCGTGTATGATCACAGCTCACTGCAGCTTCAAATGCCTGGGCTCACACGATCCTCCAGCCTCAGCCTCCCGAGTAGCTGGGACTACAGGTGTGTACCATCACGCCTGTCTAAGTTTTTGGTGTTTTTTTTTTTGTTTGTTTGTTTTGTAGCTATGTGGTCTTGCTATGTTGCCTAGGCTGGTCTCAAAACTCCTGGGCTCAAATAATCCTTCTTCCTCAGCCCTCAGCCTCCCAACGTGCTGGGATTACGGGCATGAGGCACCATGCTCAGCCTATGTGGCACATTTTAGAGACTACAATCTTATTGGTGTTTTTTGTTGTTGTTGTTGTTTTAAGTCAGAGTCTCACTCTGTTGCCCAGGCTGTAGTGCAGTGGCATTGCTCATGGTCACCACAGCCTTGACCTGCTGGGTTCAGGCGATTCTTCTGCCTCAGTCTTCCAAGTAGCTGGGACTACAGGTGCATGCCACCACATCCAGCTAATTCTTTTGATTTATTGTAGAGGTGAGGTCTCACCAAGTTGCCCAGGCTAGTCTCGAACCCCTGAGCTCAGGCAATCCTCTCGCCTTGGCCTCCTAAAGTGCTGGGATTACAGACATGAGCCACTGTGCCCGGCTCTCATTGGCATTTGGATGACTTCAATGATGTGGGTTTGTCTGAGGATTATGATGCTCATTTTGTTTCCTGCTTTATTGTTGGAAAATGGCATTCTAGTGACTTGTATAACGAAACTGAAAGTTTTATTTCTGTTTTTAATTGATTTTGCTCATATACTTTCAGACTGCAGAATCCGCAATGGTGAGAATGGAATACATTTCCTCTTAAATAGAGATGGGAAACGAAGGGGTGATGCCTTGATTGAGATGGAATCAGAGCAGGATGTGCAGAAAGCCTTAGAGAAGCACCGCATGTACATGGGTCAGCGCTATGTGGAAGGTATGTGAGAGTAGATTCTGGCTGTTTGAGATCACTGCATTAGATTTTTATACTTTCAAGGCAGTTTTTATTTGATCCTTAATGGCAGTGAAGTAGTTAGATCTTATAAATGCATTTTTTTTAGCTTGTGAGGATAAAGCACAAAGATATAAGCTGTTTCTTATCTGTAAAATGAGGATGCTGACAAAGCTTAACTTACAAGTCTTGAGAATTAAATGAGTTATGCCTGGCATATAGTAAATATTCAATAAATGTGATTTGTCATTTTCTTTTTTTTTTGATTTGAAGTCTCACTCTGTCGCCCAGACTGGAGTGCAGTGGCCGCTCCCGGCCACCGCAGCCTCGATCTGCTGGGCTCCGGCGACCCTTCCGCCTCAGCCTTCCAAGTAGCCGGAATTAGGCATGCGCTACCATGCCCGGCTGATTTTCTTATTTATTGTAGAGATGAGGTCTCGCTGCCCAGGCAGGTCTGGAACCCGC